GGGGGGGGGGTCACTCTTGGAGGCTCACTTTCAAAGCACACTCGCACTGTAACTTGCTTAGATGTATCCGACCACAATTAATGCCAGACTTGCATGTATGGGAGTGCAATTTTATGGGAAGAAATTAGTGGAGAGAAAGAGTTCCAGTGTCAGTCTGCACGCTCATTGTGGAAGCTTTTTCTGAATGTTATGGTGCCACTCTTCGGCTGGTTCGGACAGATGTTACGGATGAATGCTGGACCTTTGCTGCGGTTACCATCTTCAAACATGGTGTGACCCTTCGCAGTGTCGTTATCCTTAAGAATGCGGTCACTGTCTGGGCTATGGGGAATTGACTTTTGGGTGCTTTCAGGATTATGTTTCCTACTCCAGCAAGAAGGCTAAGGTAGGGGTTATTCTCAGTGCGCTCCATAGGGTGTTCCACCTTACCTCGGATGATTGGGGACAGCACAAGGCCTTGTTAGTAGTTAAAAGGGAGTTGCTCATGTGTGGTTATATATGTCCATTGGTGGTATCTACTTTCCACCGTTTTAGTGCCGGTTGTGGTGGTTCCATAGCAGAGGTCGTTGCAGCTTGTGTTGGATTGGGACTCGGCAGGTTTGCCAAGTAGGCCCTATATGGGCCCTGTGTCTCTATTTGCATAGATATAATTTTTTATATCGGTGTGACGAGGGGTTAGGGCCCAGCCTAGGGCTGCTTTTTTCACCCTTTCAGGGTGTACGGCTGCTTGCTGCGGACAAGGGTGTGTCTGTGATTTTTGACGGCCTTCGGTTGCGGGCTTTACCAGACTGTTGCCCTCGCGTCGGATGACGTTTTTTGGTCCATTGGATTCAACCCATATCAGTTCACGGTACATATGGTGTCTCTGCCGGGTGAAGTGAATGTATTTTGCTGCATTTTCTGCTTTGCTCGGTATGTTTTCTACGGTGGCTCTCTTATGGTACCCCACGCCGGTATTGTACAATCTGCTTTGGCCTGGGAACTTCTTCCCACGGACGTGGGCCCCTGATAAAGTTGTTGGGACAACTATTGCAAGTTCCCGCCTGGAGAGGCACGTTTCTTCCGAAGTATAAACTCCGCAGGTCGGATCGTCGGTTCCTCTCATCTCATTACGAGAACGTGCTACGGCGGTTGTACCGTATGCAAGGCCATCGCTGTTGGTGTTTAGAGCCTGCTGCCTTCGTCTTCCTTTCTCGCCTGGACAGTTCCTCGCATCTCATTACGAGAACGTGCTACGGCGGTTGTACCGTTGTGACTGCCAGTGGGGCTTGCCAACTTGGCTATGAGCTATGCTCGCCCGTGGGCTTTCTGAGTGTACTCTACAGCGATTCTTGCAGACGATCTTCCAGTAGCAGCGGTGCTCCTTTGTGTGTTTTTTCTTCTGCTTGCGTGTGCCTGTCTGTCTCGCGGTTTTGTGCAGGTACTTGAAGCAGCTGTGCTGACATGGCGGGTGTCTGTCTTCTGCTGTCGAAAGTTTTGGGGACTTCTAAGACGACCTTCAGGGTTTGTTGGCACATCCTGATCTTGCGGTTCACTTTGATGGGCTCCTATGGGGAACTTCGGTGCGCGTGGATGGGGTGTAGGGTAGGTGTTTGTTTATTAAATGATGGGGCAAGGCACTGGTATGGCCCCCACTTGTGCTCTGCCAGTAGCAGCTTGGCAGCATGCTTAGATCAGACCTCCTGATGAGTCCACGTGCGGGGTGGACAAAACACGCCAAGGATGTGGCTGTGTGGTTGTTGAAATGTTGATCTTCGACATGCTGTTTTCATGATCTACTTTTTCTTATGATTTGCATGCGTAACAGACTTGTCTTCATCGGTGCATCCTTGCGCCCTGTTTTCATGCTCGCGCTGTATTGCCGGGCAGTTCTCTCTTTGCGTGCTCATCCTCTGCATTTTTTTTGCGGGAGTCTACGGTAGTTTTCGTTTTTTTTTGTTTTTTTTTTTTGGGGGGAAGGGGTATTCTACAGTAGTTTGTTGGATAAGCAACAAACGTCTCTGTCTGTGACATGCCAACTTCCATGCTTGATCGAGCTTTCAAAGCCCTGGGTTCTGCTACTCTTTTCTTTCCGGTCTCTAACGGGCTTTGGGTACCTTCTTGTTGGCAGACGCGTAATGCATGGAATTAATGGCCGCCGAGGCCCTCCCACTTCGAAGTACTTTTGTTTTCTCGGAATTTTTGGAATTGTTCTTCTTCAAAATCCATGAATTTACGTAGGAATTACGCGCGCCTTAGCGAGCGCGCTAGGAGTTTTTATCAACAGTTGGGAATTTCCAAAACTCGCAGGCGTACTTCCAGGTGCCGGGTCCTTTTTGCGCATGAGCGTCCCCAAAATAGTCTCGGAACACCCCAAGACTTTTCTGTAGGAATAGGAATGGGTGTGGGAATTCCCGCGCCCGATTGCGCGCGGGTA